TTTGCACATTAAATGTTATTTCTTCATTATTTAGCCTCATTTTCAGCTCCCTAGTTTCACAATCAATTAGAGGTCTTCCTGTGGCCAAGAATGACCTTCCCAAAATTATGGGAATCTTTTCATCGACCTAGCAGTCCAGAATGACAAAATCTATCGGAAACACAACTTCCCAACTTGCACAGTACATCATCAAGTATACCAGATGGCCTTTTCACTGTTCGATCAACTAGCTGTAGTAACATAGATGTGGACCTTGCTCTTCCAATGTCTAACTTTTTATAGATAGCTAATGTCATCAGATTTATGCTCGCCCCCAAATCACACAATGCTTTGGCGAATGCATAGCTACCTATGGTGCATGAAATTGTGAAGCTTCCAGGGTTGGATAGCTTCTCCGCTATAGGTCTTGTCACAACAACACTACAGGTCTGAGTCAATGTCACAGTTTCCAAGTCTTGAAAGTCGAACTTGCAAGACATCAAGTCCTTCATCATTCTTGGATAATCGGGCATCTCCCTTAAAGCATCAATTAGATGAATGTTCACCTGAATTTGCTTCAACATCTCCATAAATTTCTTATACTGCCCATCCTTTTGATATTTTGCCAACCTCTGCGGGAAGGGTGCTGGCGGTCGCTTCTTTCCTGTGACTTGAGTTAGATCCTGCTTAGGCACTTTTTCTAATGCCCTCTCTTGCACTTTCTCAGTCTCCTTTGCAACCTCTTTCTCTTTGCTTAGTTCCTCCTGAGCTGGCTGCACTCTTACTTCTGTTAGCTCGGTTGACTCATCTACCCCAATTGGTAATGGCACAAGTATCTCAGTTGGTCGGCTTTCAATTTCTTGCTCTAGATAAAGATCTATACCATTTCTGAGACTCACAACCATCAACTGCTTAGGGCCCTGCTCTTTCGGGTTATCATGTGTGTCCGCAAGTAATGTCCCTTGAGGACGATTGTTAAGGTCCATAGATATTTTCCTTAGTTGAATCTCAATGCCCTTGATAGCTGAGTCATGTAATACTACCTTTTCTTATATATGGTGGACATTTTCTTCCATTTTCCCGCTGGAACCAATGAGTTGTTGCAGCATTCCTTTATATTCAAACAACTCATCATCTTATCGCACTATCTGTTGATATTGTTGATAAGCTAGTTGTTGATTCTGCTGATTGTACCCTTGTTGCCTTTGATAAGGCACAACCTGACCCTATGGTTGTGTAGCTACAGGATTATTATTATTATTATTATTATTATTATTATTATTATTATTATTATTATTATTGTACTACTGTTGTGTTGGCCTATATTGTTGATTCTGCTGTCCCAAGTCTGACCACCTTGTATCTGGCCTCCATAGTTGCTCACATAGTTCATATTCTCTTGATAATTCTGATCCTCACTCTCACCTCTCCATGAGCACGCATATGGCTGATTAATGCCTGGTGTGCATAATCATCCATTTGTCATGTCAACTATATGCACCTGCTTCTGGCCGGACTCATCAATCTTTTGGTTAGGATACTCAATTGCATCATCATAGTAGCCATATTCTTAGTCATGGAGTTGTTTAGGTCTAGAGCTCTGAGTGAACTACATGAGTGATTGTAGAGTCTCTTGTCATCTATCCTAAGTTTTGAGCCATTTTATCAAGTAAGACCTTACATTCTCTAAATGATTTGCTAAAAAATGCTCCACCTGCTGAAGCATCAACATTGCCCTTCAAGATGTCTGCTAATCCCATGTAGAACTTTTGCCCCAATCAGATCAAGAATGCCATGGTGTGGACACTTAACCAACATCCACTTGAACCTCTCCCACATTTCTTGCAGCGTTTCAGCTGGTTTCTGTCTGAAGCTCAGTATCTCATCAACTTGCTTGGCAGTCTTATTGGATGGGTAAAATTTATTTAAAAACTGCTTGACTAATTCCTCCCAAGTAGTGATGGAGTTTATGGGGAGCAAATTGAGCCAAGTCTGAGCCTCTCCTGCCACTGAGAATGGAAACAACAACAGTCTTATTGCTTCAGGTATCACATTAGGTTGCCTTTGCGTGACACAAATCGACAAAAAAAAATTCAGATGCTGTTGTGTATCTTCAATGTAAGACCCCGAGAACAGTCCATTGTTCTGCAACAAATGTAACATGTTGTTTGTAATTTGAAATGATTCCGCTTGTATCGGAGGGACTACAATTGAGGTTGCAAGGTTTTCAGCGGTGGGTTGCGCCAAATCATACAAGGTTGCTCCTGACACAAGAGGTGCCACACCTTGATTGTTCGGGTCATTCACATTGTTTCTCTTGTTTTGGTCATCTATGACGTCCCCCATGTCTAGTTTGATCTGTTCTGTTAGGTTTTGTTATCGTTTGTCCTTTTTGTTTGCTCAATTTAGTGCCTTGAAACCTTTCTCAGGTGTCTGGTAATGCTTCGTACAATTCACCAGTTGTTAAGGAGTTTCTAGGCATGCACTTGTAACACACAAGACTACAAACGTTAGAATTTCAGTATAATGAATTTAAAATGAAGATAATTGACTAAACTAAGGATCCTAGCAATTCTTCTAGTTGTAATTAATAACACCTTAATTCTCCGGCAACGACGCCAAAATTTGATCACGCCCAACTATGCCTTATAAAAAGGACTAAGCGGTCGTTGCACATATAATCCGATTCACAAGTTCGGAGTTGAATCCTATAGGGAATTAACTTACTAATCACAACTGTTAGTTTCGCAAGAATTCAAGTAATCAACTTCCAGAAATATTGAATAATTATTTGAGTGTTTAATAACTAAAAGTAAGGTAATTAGAAAGCTATAATTTTATTACTAACAAAGAAAATATTGTAGACAAGATTGGAAAGGTCTAGGGTTACGATTTTCCCTCCTATCGGAATCCTCTTCGCCACGTCTCCTATAAATTTGCTTAGATATTCTTTACCGATTGTGAGCACTTTAGATATCGTAATTATTTTCGAAACAAATACAATAATTTACTAGACGTATTCTTCCGAACTACGTTATTTGTCACTAGTTTACCACTCACTAAGATCGCACCAAGGTTTCGTTATTCCTAATCTTAACTTTAAACCCCCATTGATCCCTCATATACGTTAGGAGTGATGTTGTTCAACAACTACCTAAATATGTACCCTTTTCCAAGTAATACACACTAAATAGGCATAGTCAATTGAGAGTCCTTCAATCAACCATAATAATTACGTAGTTGAACAAGTAGAGAAAATTCAATGGCAAACTTATATTAAACGCAACAAAAAATTCATACTCAACGAGGTTCAATCAAACCCTAGAATAAAGAGTTTAACTACTCATAATTATTTTCACAACTACAATATAAGAATTCATCACCAATAATAGAAAAAGGAAGAAGAAAGATAAAATATCATTTTCGAATCTTTCGCTTTGCTTCTTGCTTGTTCTTGTCTTCAAAGATGTTGTGTAACCCTTGAAAAGTCGTTCTTTGATGTATTTATATCACTTAAGGTTGCTAAGGGGAGGAACTTTTCAATCCTTTGGGATGGGAAAAGCTGGAATCCGCGTCTGCCTTCGCGCGTTGCGCGCCCATGGACGCAGATTCAACTTTTGAAAAATTTCCATTTCGTGAAGCGATCCTTGCCTTTGCTTCACTTCGCTGTTTTGTGCCTTCACTTTTATCCTTTTTCGTATCCGTTTTCGTGCCACGCACAAGAATTGACGAGCTCCCAATCCTTCCATTTTTCTCCTTTTTGCAATAATTTGATATCTTTTGCTCCATTATCATTCACGCTCACTCCTACAAATAAGAAATGCGTAATTAGTATAATTCACTTCAAATAGCATGTAATCTCCCGCAACTCACACGACAAATAAGATGAAAATACACTCAACATCATGCATTTTTGGCCATTTATCAGTATGCTTCAAACAGGTAAGCATTTGTTAGAAGCTAGAACTATGCACTCATGCTTTTAATATCTTTTTTGACGAGTTGTGATTTTCCTTATCCTTTGTATACACCAAAATATTTTGTTACTGCTTACTCGATCTTTTAATACACTTTATTACGACACTGTTACTTAATAATACTACTCTCACTGTGTACTCCAAATGTAAAGGATATTATTTCATGGTATTGATCAAGAAATACTATACATGTTCGTAGGTTCAGGCGATATCTAATCATCTTGACCTCAATAAACAAGTTATCACATGGCAATTCATACTAATAATTCACATGAACTTGTACTTTATCCTTTCATGTATAATTATTTTCTCTAACCTTTGTTTTAACAATATTTATATTATTTATAAAATTGTATATTACATAACTCGGCATACGCGTGCAATACACGTGCGAGAAACTAATTTAATTAAATTCCTCGAGTTGCCAAGATGGATGTCTTCTCAAAATAGTTGAAATTCATGACATAAAGCACAAAAATTAATTTTATTACCATGTAAACTTTATCTCTTATCACTATTTTGGAATCTTTATCCGTTATTAACAATAATATATTAGTTTTTTTCATTTATCAAAATGTCATTAAGAATCTCATCGATTTAAGGATTGCTCTCTCGCAGACATGGGGGAATCTACAATTATAGGGGTTCTCAGGAACCAGTAGCTTTTTCCTAGACCTTATATTTGTATTAAGAAATTTATTGAATGTATAAGAATAATTATATAGGAACCCAGTCCTAAAATGTATTATTGGTTCAGTGGTAAATTTGGGAACTCGGGTATGGCTCGCATCCCATAACCTGTTAATGCGAGTTCGAATCCCTGTAAGGTAAGGTAAGGTAAGGTTATTTTATTTTATTTTTTATTTTTTGAGCAATACTTTATATGAACTAGAAAAAATAAAAAAAGGTACGAGACGGGACCACAAAACACTAAGTTCCCTGTCAAGTTAGTACTACTTTCCCTTTAGTCTACTTTTTAAAAATAAAATAATAGTAATAAATGGCTAAATACAACCTAAAAGAAACAACCAAATCAAAATCTTCTCAAAAGTTATTTTGTATCAAATAACCAAATGTTAGGGTTTTAGACGAAAATTGCAGCCACTATTCTTCATTCTTGCTTCTTGAATCTTGGCTTCTTCTTTTGTTGCATATCAAAGACAAAATCAGTGATCCTGCCATCCATTGCAGGTCTTCTCCCTCTTTCAATTTTTTGTAATAATTATTTTCCTCTTATATTATATATGTGAAAAAATAACTCTTAACTTTCTGTAGCCATTGTTATGATCACTTCTTGTAAAAGTAGTGGATTAATACTCGTTGGATTTGGGATTGGTACCATCTACTTTAATTTTTATTTTTATTTTTAGCTTTTGTAAATTTTAATCTTTTATTTTAACTTATGAAGTTGGGTCTAGATCTTATTTTTTAAGAAAAAAAATAATAAACAAGAAGTAGAATCAGATTAGAATCTTTCTTTTGTTGAGGTATTTATTGATTCTCTCGTCTCCTTGGAGTATTCTTTGTAAAATGATCTTTTGGGCAAAATTCTTTACTGTAATATTTACTTTGTGTGTTATTATTTGTAAGGAATTTTAGTGAGTCAAGATGATCAAGAGATTTTTCAAGTCGCAAACCTGTTCAGGTTCTACTTCTAGTTCTCATTCGCTAAACTCTCATTCATGTCTAGTGGTAAATGACAATATCAATTCTTCGCAATCATCACACAAAGATATTATGTTGGATTTGAATCTTCCTAACCCTGATCCTAGTGAAAGAAAATAAATTTCAAAATATCCTCCTAATCTACGCGACCGCGTGAAGACATTATATTCAAAGGGAGCCTTGTCGGCCTCGTAATTTTATTTTTCCAAAAAAACAAATTTTGGTGGAAAATAGTGTCACTTTAATCCGGAATGGTTTAAAACTTCATATTCTGGATGGTTAGAATACAGTATTAAAGAAGATGCAGCGTTTTGCTTATGTTGTTACTTGTTTAAAAATGAGATTGGAGGATATGGAAAAAAAAGTAAGTGATTCTTTTACAAAAGATGATTTTAGGGCTTGGAATAAAGGTATAGAAAGGCTTAACGGACATGCGGGTGAAGTGAATAGTGTTCATAATCGGTGTTTCAAGATGATGCTAGATTTATTGAATCAATCACAATCTATTCTAATATCTTTTGACAAGCAATCCAAGAAAACTAAAAGTGAGTATCGGGTTCGCTTGAATGCCTCAATTGATGTTGCAAGGTATCTTTTAAAAGAAGGAATGCATTTTCGGGGTCACGATGAGCGTGAAACTTCTACAAGAAGAGGCAACTTCTTAGATCTCTTAAAGTGGTATGCAGATAAGAAGGATGATGTAAAGAAAGTTGTGTTAGAAAATGCTCCCAAAAATGAAATCATGATTTGTCCAAGTATACAAAAAGACATTGTGTGTTCTTGTGCGAAAGAAATATTGAAAGCAATTATTGAAGACCTAAACGAGATTATTTTGGGATATTGGTTGATGAGTCTAAGAATATCTCTCATAAGGAACAAATTGCGCTTGTTTTGCGTCATGCCAACAAAAAGGGTAAAGTTATTGAGCGATTCCTTAGTATTGTTCATGTTAAAGATACATTCGCAAAGTCATTAAAAGAAGCAATATGTTCTTTGCTTTTAGAACATTCATTGAGTAAATCTCAAATACGAGGATAAGGTTATGATGAAGCTAGTAACATGCAGGGAGAAATTAATGGTCTTAAAACCTTGATTATGAATGATACTCCTTCGGCATATTCCATACATTGTTTTGCTCATCAACTGCAATTGACTCTTGTTGCTGTTGCAAAAAAAATTATGAGACAGAATAATTTTTTGATATTCTTGCAAATGTTTTAAATATTGTTGGGTATTCTTTTAAGCGTAGGGAGATGCTTCGAGATGATCAAGCAGAAAAATTAGAGGAACTATTAGTCCTCGGTAAAGTTCATATGGGAAGCGGTTTAAATCAAGAACTTGGACTTCAAAGGGCAGGTGATACTCATTGGGGTTCTCATTTTAAGACGGTGCGTAATTTTATTAGTTTATTCTCATCAATTATTCATGTACTTGGAGTTCTTGCAATCGAGGGTTCAAATTATCATAAGATATCAATGACAAAAAGTCTAGTGGATGACATAAGATCTTATGAGTTTGTATATATGTTACATTTAATGTTGAAAGTGTTGGCAATTACATATGATTTGAATATGGCTTTACAAAAAAAAGATCAAGATATTGTTAGTGCTATGAAGCTTGTTGGTTTCGTAAAAAGATAATTTCAAGATATGAGAGATTCTAGATGGGGTTCTTTGGTAGCAGATGTCTCTTTATTTTGTGTCAAGTATGATATTGTGACCCCCAAAATGGATATGAATTATGTTTGTGAAAAGTCGAAGCGTTAGAAATCAAGTGTTACATATTCTTATCATTTGCGTGTAGAGATTTTCTATGCTGTTATTGATTTGCAACTTTCGGAGCTTAACAGTCGTTTCAGTGAAGTGAATACTGATCTAATTCTTGGTATGGCTAGTTTGAGTCCAGAAAATTCTTTTACAAATTATGATAAAGATAGGATTATGAAACTTGCTACACACTATCCGAATGAGTTCACTGATTCTATGCTTGAGTATCTTCATTTTGAGTTTGACATCTATATTGACTATGTGCGACAGGCGGGCAATGAATTTTCTAACTTGATAAGACTTGGTGATCTTTCAGAGACGTTGGTTAAAACAAATTTGCACATGACTTGGAGACTTGTTTATTTGCTTGTGAAGTTAAGTTTGATATTGCATGTCGCTACAACAACGGTAAAAAGAGCTTTTTCTTCGATGAAGTACGTTAAAAATGACTTGCGAAGCAGAATTGGTGATGAATTTTTGAATGATTGTTTAGTTTGTTATATAGAGGATGAAGTATTTGAAAGTGTACCTAATGATGCGATCATTGATCATTTTCAAGACATGACAAGTTGTCAAGTACAATTGTAATGATAATGTTTATATTCATACGTTATCTTTAAGTATTTTGTTATTTTGAAATTTATGTTGAATATCGATACTCGTTCCTTAGTTAGATTATTATGATATATTGATTTGAAATTGCGGTAGGAACCCATACACTTCAATTCGTAGATCCGCCTCTGCTCGCAGAAAGTTAAGGTAAGTCATTAATAAAGTTAAATTTAAGAAGTAGTATATATATTCAAGTCATTTTTTGTCAGAACCAAGTTTGCCGATCTCAATCTTTCTGTTGTTGAAGAAGACCTAGAAATCAGTCCAAAGTCTAAAGAATTTTAGATCACCTTGATTCTTTTCCACTTTTAACTTTTGACCAATGGCATCTCGAAGTGGAAGTTCTATGTCAAAGAAGGGATTTAAAGAGTAAGTTTCTATTTTCTTAGCATTTTTTTCTTCTTTTTTCTCTTCATCTACGTTAATTATCTTAAACATTATGAGGCTTACAACTTTTTTTCTTTTTTATTCTTTATTAGTTGTAGGAGAGAAAATGATATGCTTCACTTCGAGAATACAAGAATCTCTCATGAACTTTCAATAATAAGTGAAAGGAACAAGCATGCTATTTTGCCCTTGTTGTAATCCTAAGGTTTATGAAGAAATCAAAGAAAAACTAAAGATCCAAGTAGAACTGCATAAAGAGTCCGAAGAAAAGGTCAATTCTTTTTTGAACACTTTTTTCGTTATATTGTAGTGGCTATAGTAAATAAAGATTCTATGCTATAGAGATATAGTGAATTTATAGTATTTCTTTTGCAGCGGGAGGCATGAAAAACCTTCATCATTTATCATTTGAAGAAAGATAGTGGCGATGGACATTTTTATCCCTAGAAATTTTCATTGGAAATGTATATTATGAGCTTCTAGTAAGATAAAAAGGGACCGAAACCAATGTAGCTAATAAATGGTAGTAATAACAATCTAAGAATAAATGAATAATAAACTAACACTAATGCTAACGAACCAAGGAAGACAAAGGGAGACGCTCGATTACCTAACCTTCTGCCATAATCCTCGACCTCCATGCCCTCCTATACTAAAAAAAAGAAAAGATCTTACCTGCATGTCCATAGGCCTAGGGGCAGGGGCAGAGCTACAATAGTGAATGTGGGTTTGGGCGAACCCAGTGACTTTTTCTCAAATCCTGTATTTGTATTGAAAAATTTATTGAAAGGATATAAATATACAACGGCGAACCCAGATATTGCCCGGAAGCAATACAATTTTAACTCATTTTAACTACGTTTCCTTTTCATTACTAAGGCAAAAAAGAAGAAGACAAAAGCTCCAAAAACAACCCCAGCTGTCCTTCACTTCTTTGAGAGAGTTATTCCCCAATCAAAATCAAAAGAAAAGTGAGGGAAAGAGTTAAGGTTTTTAAAGTTTTTGTCACTACTTAAAATCAAAATCAAAAGTACCAACTAGTCATATTTTTCTTAAAGGTCCATCCCTGCTATTCCATCTTCTTTTATTTGTTTGCCTTTCTTTTATCTTTTGATTTTTTAAGTAAATGTTACTTGATTTTAAATTTTTTTATTCCAAATGCTGAATTTTTTATTTCAACTTTTTATATTTGTATTTGTCTGCATCCCCTAAAATCTTAGTCCCATCTCTTAAATTTTCTCAGTTTTGCCACGTGAATATGATTTGTATATTAATTGGAGGGTGGACCATATATTTTGTTCTTTTCTATTACTTATAAATTTTTATAATATTTATATATGGCTTCAAAAGTTTTATTGACAAACACTAAGCGATTTAAATTCTTCACCTCTTTTGTTTTTATTTATTGTATTGTGCAAAATCAAATTAAAGTGAGATATTCAATTTATAATGGTTGACTACAAAATAGTTTTTTTTTTAATTTTTTTTTAATAGCAATATTTGTTTAGGCTAGAAAAGGATGTGGACATTAAGGTGGTGAGGGAACTTTGCATCATCTGATAATCTTCTTCATATATTAGCAAAAAGAAAAAAGGGAAGTAGAAAAGCTTTTCTATGCACCTAGCATTCATTATTCAGTGAACTTTTAGAACAATATTCACTAGATATGAAGACTTGTTTATTTGCTTAAATTTGATATTTTTTTTGGCTACTGCAATGATAGAAAGAACTTTTACTTTTATGAAGTTTGCTTTGATGATAACTTTTTGAATGATTGTTTATTTTTTTTATACCGAGAAGAAAATGTTGAAACTTAAAGACCTATCTAATGATGTATCATTTTTATTTTTCAAAACATGACAAGTCGTCAACTGCAATTATAACGATAGTGTTTATAATCATATATTGTGTTAAGTGATCGTTACTTTTTAAATATATATTAAATATTAGTACTCGTTTCTTAGTGTTATAATTGTGTATATTAGCTTGAGGTCGCAATCATGTCTTAAAATTTTGAACTCATACACTTAAAATTCTAACTCCGTCTCTGGCTAGGGGTCAAATCAAGATTTGTACACCCATGACCTCTTGTGTCCTGTGAAGATACCTTGTTACCGTGAAATCACTGTGCAAACCAAAGTAAGAAGGCACATTGACAAGTCATGACTCAAAGTAAAAGTGGGAATCCAGGTAACTATTTTAATTTTATTAAAGAACTATCTAAACTTTAATATCCCTAGAAGAGCAAGAAAACAGGTCTAGAGATGGCAAGGGAGCGAGGCGGGTTAGGCCATTACTTCGCAAAAATTTAATCCACCCCACCTCGTATAGTAATTTTTATGTTGTTAACTCGCGTCAGCTCGGCCTGTTGGCATCTCTAGAAAAGGAAAAAGAAAAACGATAGTATGGTCATTAAGGGGAAAATTTTGCATGGTAATATCATAGTCGTTTTTATAATTGAGTTGCATGTATGTTGTAAGTTGTTTAAGAGAAAATGAATTGGTGATTGGATTAAGATTTAAGAGTCAATTATTTTTATTCCTTATCAGGAGTTTCTTACTTTGCCTCTTTGGTGATTCGAATTCATAACGTCAGAGTTAAATGTAGAAAATACTTACTATTTGAGCAACCCTCTATTCTCGATCAAGAGTCTGTTTTGATCTAAGAAAAATATTTTTTTTATAGAAGAATCTCTAGTGTTTGGATTTTAATTTAAATGACGAGTTCTTGGGTTTCATTTTGGAAGAATCGGTATTGAGTTTTTATTTTTGAAAAATAATTATTGAAGCCTTAAAGCATTTTTTAGACATTTCATAGGATGAAATTAATATATTAAAATAGACTAAACATCTTTAGATATTATTATTACAAAGTTTTCCAAAAAGAATTACGTATTGTAATTACTTAAATATGTAAAAAATCTAAAAATGAAATAACTTCACCACCATAGATTATGGTGGGATGAATAAGATTCCTTTACCCTTAATTATTTTGAGTTCGAGTAATAGTTGATGAAAGAATAATGATACGGACCTTATGCGAATTTGAATTAGTCGGAATACAAATAGAAATATCTCGAATCCATTGGGAAAAAAAGGAACAAGGGGTATTGCAGCTATTAGTTTGACTTATATGTCACCTTTGACACCTAGAACATTCAAAATTCAATAAAAAAGAATCCAGATATAACTTTTATGTTGTTCAAACTCAAATTACGTTTACATTTGGACTACCTTTGAGAAAAACATCCTCATTAAATTTTGTCTAAACCTAAATTCTAGCCATTGGAGATAGACTTTTAATTAATAATTAAGGCCGTTCTTGCAAAAAAAATAGAATTCAAATATTAGACGGTATAAGTATAATTTACATTCATAGTAATGTTTTGGTTTACTCCGTCTGTAGGAGCTGGCTTACATTGCTAATCTCAAATTCGAATAAAAGAGAAAAGCAACAGTAGTGGTATGATAATTTTCAGTAAAAAATTACTAACTTATGATGAATACTTAATTCTATCCTTAATTACAAGTTTCAAGTTTGAGCATTGAAAAATATAAAAAAATTTCTGGCAGGGAGCGCTTCTTCGTTTACAACTTGTTTGGATGGTTGTTACATATTGTATGGTATCGTATTGTTACTTTAAATACAATGTTTGTTTTGATTGTTACTTAAATTTTATTGTATCGTATCGTTAAATCCGTCGTTACATAGCGACGAAGACTGCCACTTTATGTAACGATGAATTTGGTGTGGTGACGTCGTTACTTTATTTTTTTCTCTCATCTTCCTTCTTTCTTAGTAATGTTGCAAGTTTATTCTTCACATTATTGGTGCGTGACATTGTGAAACGCCGACAAACGATATAATTTATCCAAATATTATATTCATCAAACAATACAATATAATACAATACAATACAATATAATACATTATGAAACGACTAACAATCATCCAAACAAGCTGTTAAAGAGCTTTATGTGGGGCAAATTCAAATTAATCATTAAAAGTTGTGGTGGCACGAATAAGATTCATCTTCATCCTTAATTAAAGGTAGAAGGTTTGAGCTATGAGAATAATTTTTTTTTGACAAGGAACGCTTCCTATTAATGAGTCCTATATGGAGCGAATTTAAATTAGTCGGGGCCCTAACTTGAATATATTAGCAAAAAGAAAAAAGAACATTATGAAACGACATATAACAATCATCCAAATAAGCTGTTAAAGAGCTTTATGTGAAGCAAATTCGGATTAATCATTAAAAGTTGTGGTGACACGAATAAGATTCATCTCCATCCTTAATTAAAGGTTGAAGGTTTGAGTTATGAGAATAATTTTTTTTTTGACAAGGAATGCTTCCTATTAATGAGCCATATATGGAGTGAATTTGAATTAGTCGGGACCCTAACTTGAATATCGAACACCATATAAGAAACAAAAAAAAGTGTATTGAATTTTGTAACAAAAACAAAAGGGAAAAGAAAAGTAAAAGATTATTTTTCAAAAGTGTCCAAAGTTTCATATCAAGCATTAAATACTTGTCTTGGATCCTTCAGTCCAAAACAGCAAAGTGGTTGGCTAACATCCAAATATCCCCATTGGGGTTATCAAGAAGTGGCCAAAATTTCAATTCTTTGGGGCTAAGAGTCTAACAAGTAAATGACAAAACATGAATGTGCTGTCTACTTTTGGCTGGTTCTTAAAAGCCTTTGTCTCTTTGTCTTAATTTGTGTTTTTTAAATTTATTTATGAGTAAAGAGAGAAGAAGATAAAGACCAAGTTTGAATTGTCTTTTGTTCTTGCAATTCTCACACACAAAGTAAGTGATGTCATTTTTTTTCTGTCCTTTTGTTAGGACATATTTGGATTTTTGTGTCTTTTCAGAATATATTAGTCTTTTAGCCACCCTGATTCCTTGTCCACTTTAGGTAGTGACAAACAAACAACCAAAAAGGTCGTTCCACACTTTATAAGGTGGTGGGGTTGGGGTTTGTTCTTGTATTTACAGACTAAGAGTCCGTTTGGACATTAATTTTGTTTTTTTTTTAAATTAGTGTTTGATCATAAACTTTTTAATTTTAAATTAGTGTTTGATCATAAATTTTTTAAATTAATGTTTGATCAAAATTTCAAAACAACCCAAAATAATATTTATATCCAAACACAACTCTAATTTTCATATATCATTTTTCACTTGAATTTTTTTTTTTATTTTTTTTTTGAAATTTTATAATTCTTATGTCCAAACGACCACTAATTAAAAATTTGACATTTTTACAAGATGATGAGATTTGAGGGAGAAAAGGGGTTGGTGAGATGAATTTAGAGTTGATATATTATATACTTAGAGGTAATTAAAATTAATTTTTTTAACGGTTTAAACTTTTAGATAATTTTTTTATCAAACTATTCAACAGTTGATACATATGAATGACAGTATCTATATTCTCAGATCTTAACTTGAAATTTAAAGTGCATACAAGCATTGGCAGAGACAATTTATGCTAACGATGTCCGTATACTTTTTCGTCGGAAAATTATAATGTTTACTTAAGTAAAAAAGTTATATATATATATATNACCTTTTTTCTAAGTCGAGGGTCTTTCGGAAACAGTCACTCTACCATCTTTATCCTACCGAGACCTCACTTGTGGAATTTCACAAGATTTGTTGTTATTGTTATTGTTGACAATCTTTAGTGAAATTTCTAATTCTGTCACTGTATACAATACAGATGCGAATGCAGGACGACATATGCATTTGAACTTAGTATTTTTAATATAAAATATAAATTTATGTTTAAAATTCACAAAAATTATAATAAATAATATGTATAAAATTATAATTTTTTTAAAAGATTTAATTATTAAAAATCTTAAGGGTTAAACTCTTGAAACCTAAATCGGGTCGAATACGTGCAAATCAATTTGAACAATCGTTACATAAAGCAAAAGCAACAATGATAAACAATGAGACACGTAGTTTTGGAAAAACCTAAAACACAAAAAGCCAAAAACAAGAACAGAGGCTCTGTTTTTCACAAATTCCATATTCCTCTGAAATACGCAAAAAAACACAACACCAAAACATTGCCGACAAAAACAAACCCCACGCTTTGTCGACAACAAAACAAACTCCCTTTAACTTCATCTCTCTCTCTCTCTCTCACTACAGCTTTAATTGAACCCCCTAAAAGTCCAATTCCTCTCTCTCTATATCTTCACCAAACAAACTTACACACAAACTACAATCTTGAACTTGTTCTTGCCAAAATTTCTTTGTAAAAGCTAGAGCTTTTTGGTGAATTCTTGTGGTACTTTTTCTGGGTTTTTGATGAACTAAATAACCCAGGAAGGAATTTCTGAATCTTTATCTTGTTGGTGAGTTCTTGCCAAATTTGTCCTTTTTGGGACTATTGCTCTGTTTTTGCTCTGTTTTCTGCCTGATGAATTGGTCATTTCTTGCAAAGTTTGTCCTTTTTTGCAAAATTTAGCTCTGTTTTTACTCTGTTTTCTGCTTGGTGAATTGGTGATTTGTTGCAAAGTTTGTTTTTTTTTGGAATTTTTTGCTCTTTTTAACTCTAATTTCTGTCTTGTAAATGTAAATGGGGCCTGGAGTTTGTTAGTCCAATTGAAGTAATTGCATTTTTTTGGCTTAGCTTCTATAGTTTGGGTTTGAAATGGTTCTGAATTCAGACTCATTTTCTTGTTTGACCTGTTCTTAATCTTGTAGTGCACATTTCTCTTTGTTCTTTCATTCAGTTTTATTGGGAAATTTTGAATCTTTTTTTCAAGAATCTTTATTGGGAAATCTTGAGTCTTGATTTCAAGAAATTACCAAAGCTTTTTTTTTACTACTTTTTGGCCTTTTTTTGTGTGTAAATTTGTGACAATGTTACAAGATGATGGTTCATCATCAGTGACCTCATCATCACCTCTTCAAAACTTTCCAATGACGTCACTTTCACCTAGTTTGAATTCACCATACCATTGGCTCAAGGAGCTGAAATCTGAGGAAAGAGGTTTATATCTAATTCACCTTTTGCTCACTTGTGCTAACCATGTGGCTGCTGGCAATCTTGAGAATGCTAACATTGCACTTGACCAAATCTCCCAATTAGCTTCTCCTAAAGGAGATACAATGCAGCGAATCGCCTCGTATTTCGCTGAGGCGCTTGCTGATAGGATTCTGAGATCTTGGCCTGGTATTTATAAGGCCTTGCATTCGACTAAGCTATCGATCGTATCAGAAGATATACTGGTCAAGAAAATGTTTTTTGAGTATTTTCCGTTCTTGAAAGTAGCTTCTTTGATCACAAATCAAGCGATCATCGAAGCTATGGAAGGAGAAAAAATGGTTCATATTGTTGATCTCAATGCTTCTGAACCCCTTCAGTGGCGTGCGCTGCTTCAGGATTTGAGAGCGCGCCCTGAAGGACCGCCCCATTTGCGGATTACGGGGGTTCATCAGCAAAAGGAAGTGTTAGAGCAAATAGCACATGTTCTAACAGAAGAAGCTGAAAAGTTGGATATCCCTTTTCAGTTCCATCAGGTAGTTAGCAAATTGGAAAATCTTGATGTTGAAAAACTACGAGTTAAAACCGGGGAGGCGTTGGCGATTAGTTCAGTTATGCAGTTGCACACTCTTCTTGCACATGATGATGAACCCCAAAAGAAATCCCCTTTGGGTTTCAAGCATTTGAATGGCCTTCACTTGCAAAGGGCATTACTCAACCAAAATACTTTAGGGGACTTGCTCGAAAAGGAAACAACTAATGTTTTTAGTCCGGGAAATGAATCAGCATCTTCATCTCCGCTATCTCCAACTGCCCCAGCAAAGATTGACGGATTCCTCTACGCGTTGTGGGGTTTGTCTCCAAAGGTCATGGTGGTCACAGAACAAGACTCGAACCACAATGGAACGACCCTTATGGAAAGGCTATCTGAGTCATTGTATTTTTACGCTGCATTATTCGATTGTCTTGAGTTCACACTACAGAGAACATCGTTAGAGCGATTAAAGGTCGAGAAAATGTTATTCGGCGAGGAGATCAAGAATATCGTAGCGTGTGAGGGAGTCGAGCGGAAGGAAAGGCACGAAAAACTGGATAAGTGGTTTCAAAGATTCGATGGAGCCAGTTTCAGGAATGTGCCTCTGAGTTATTATGCAATGTTGCAGGCAAGGAGATTGTTGCAGAGTTACAGTTGTGAAGGATACAAGATTAAAGAAGAGAATGGTTGCGTGGTGATTTGCTGGCAAGATCGCGTTCTTTTCTCAGTATCTGCTTGGAGATGTAGGAGGTGAGATTTAGACCAAGTATTACAATCAAAGGGAACTTAAATAGTTTCCTCTTCTCTTCTCTTTTGCCATGCACTTTGTAGGAAGGAACTTTTGTGTAGTGAAACTTGTCATGGAAATTGTAATCTTTCTATTAGTCTTGTTGTTGCCCTCTTTCTTTGTATACAGTTCATAATTTTGTGAATGCACTTTGTATACATTCTGATTGTCCATAAGGTATGTAGTAAAGAATTACTCAAATCAGTATCATTGTAAGTAAATGGCGGAGAATCTTGGTGCAACGGTAGAAACCGCCGTGATCTAACCGGGAGGTTAGAGGCTCAAGCAGCAGAAATAAGACTTAATGCGGTTTGGTCCTTTCCTAGATCCCATGCATAGCAGCCCGGTTAGAGGCTCAAGCCACTGAAATAAGACTTAATGTGGTTTGGTCCTTCGTAGATCTCATGCATAGCGGGTCGTGCATCCTAGCACTGTGTAGGTTAGGCGCTAGGCGCATGTCACAGGTTCAAAACCTTTTAAACACAAAACTTGGTATTTAAGTTTAGGTAAAAAAACCCACAATATATTTCTTCAATATTAAAAAAGAATAAGACACATTTCCTAAAGAACTTGCAGAAAATCTAATTCCACCCATGGAATTTGTGAGAAGATCTCAAATATGTACCTGGCGGTTTAATCATTCCAATGGTTTGTCATAAAGCAAGTATATCAGGTTCTTACTATGAGGACACTTGGGCCAGGATATAACACAATGAGAAAATGACACCGGGGTGTTGTCCCCGTTTTGGCTTATTTTTAAAAATGTGTCCCCGTTTTACAAACTTTTGCAAAAATAGGCCTAGCGTCAGATGACCGGTTCCATCTATGTGCTCAGGGCATACGCATAAATTTTTATTTGCGGTATCAAAATTTATAGAAGAACGGGAATATAATTTACGCTATGTTTGGATTATTATTATCCTCCATTTTATAATTTATTATATTGTATAGTACTGTATTGTATAGTATCGTTTAACAGATACAACGTTTGAATAGATGATATCGTTTGCTGTTGTTAAATAATAGTTTTATTATTTGGTTTAAATGTATTGTAATGTAACCGATAAGTTCACTAAAATACCCGCAATTATTTTAAATAAAATTTATCAAGAATTACACATAATAATTTGAGAAAATATTTTTCTACTAATTTATCATTAATTACGTAGGTTGGAAACAAGAGTAAAAACCTTAAGAAAAAGGTTAACTGATATTAGCAACAACAAAAAAAAAATTTAAAATGATAGAAAGAGACAAAGAATCGAACAGAGACTTTGACAAAAAGAACAGGGCGAACCAACTTTAGAAAAGATGAAAAAAATAAAGTAGGTCAATAGGTTAGAGATTTGGAGTAAAAATAAAAAAAAATATGTAAAGGATAAAATAGAATTATAGTAATAAGTAAGGACATAATTGAAAAAATAAACAAAAAATAATCCCACCACACTAACTCGGTTGTTTCATAAAATGGGGCTTTTGGTTGTTACAGAACAATGAATTTAACAATACGATACAAAATCAATTTTAAATAAACAATCAAAACAATCATTGTTTTGGGATAACGATACAATATGATACAATAGGTAACAACCATCCAATCAAGGTGTAAATTACCATACTTTTAAACAAGAAATAATCCTAGTCTACTGATTTTGTTGAGTCTTGGCTTATAAAATGTCCTGAGTTCAATTCTACTTCATTACATTTTTTTAACTATTTCGAATCTTTGACCTGTTAGAGCAAAATCAGGTGCATAACCAACGTGTCAAGAGATAATTTATGTCAACTTGTATTATTATTATTTGAAAACTGTCGTGCGATTTAGCTTCGTTAAACGTGCATCTGCCCCTATTCCCGCTCTTCTTCCTTCTTCTTTCTTCTTTCTTCTTCCTCGTCCTCCTTCATCTTCATACGATTACGACAAATAGCCAAAACTTGCATATTAATAATGAAAACTTTAGAAGGTAACTATAGATGGAGCGGATACGTAAATACAACAGCAACAGTAATCCAGTATAATCCCACCAGTGAGGTCTGAGAAGGATAGTGTGTACGCAGGCCTTACCCCAACCCTGGGGTAGAGAAACTGTTTTCGATAGACACTCGATCCCCTCCCTTCCAAAAACTCCTCACCTTGCTCTTGTGGTGACTCGAACTCAAAACATATTGGTGGGAGCGGATACGTAAATATGTTGTTATATTCAGATTGTAATTTATTCGCTAACAATAAGTGGCTACCCCGCAGTATTATTAACCTTTGTCCTCTCTCTCCTGTAGATTATTCAAAAGCCGCTATATTTGCGTTGTCTACTGAAAACTATGCTTGCAATTCTAATAAACAGCTATTTCAATTGTATATCAACAATGCACCTTTAGCCAAATAAGTTTGGAGTATTACTCGTTTTTACATTTTTCTCAATCGGCTATCTTGTTACAAAGTATATCCTATGATCGTAGAGCCTAAAGAAACTTCTATCCCCNATTAGTTAAACTTGTGAATAATTGAACAACATAAGCGGGGATAAACCATCGAACTAGAGCAAATTAACCCTAAAGCTACTAAAGCAATGGCTTTAGTCCCCCAAAAATTAAGGCCCCAAATTTACTCTAATTATATATAATATAAATAATTATGTATTTATTATTAGTGATAAAAAAAATTAATTTTTTGTTGTCAATTTATAACCAATCATTGCTCGTTGATTTTCAAAGTTTATGCTATTTTTTTAAAAAAAAGAATAATTAATGTAATTATAGTTGAAAGTCGTAGACAATTAAATTTACAGTTACTTTGTACTTCTCAATTTGTCAAACTCACTCCAACTTGAATCAATTTTTTTTATAACTACGACTCTGTAAAATCTTCTTCTTTTCTTTAAGTGCTTTTTAGACAATTTTTCAGTCCCAAGCTAGTGAAATTATCAAAAGATTAGATATGAAAAAGTATTTTCTTAACCTTGAATGTCTTTTAAAGCATAATAGTCATTATGATATTGATAGTTCTAATCTATTTTTGAAACTAAAAGAAATTGAACAAGTAGAAGATGCTACTCTAACGGAAATACTCAATCAGATGAAGTCTTAGTTATATTTTAAATATTTTTAATGCTTATAGAATGATTTTAATAGTTTTTGTAGCAGATATCTCTATTGGGAAAAAACAATTCAAATTAAAATCAATATGATCTTACCTAAGATAAAAAAGTACCTCACGCAAGATTATGTGCCTATATATTATCAATTGAAAATAAGAAATCTATTACCAAAATTTTATAATTACCTTGCATTTAAGAAATTATAAAAATAAACATCAAATAAAATATAAGTATAACTTTTTATTAAATAAATTTAAAGTCTCTTTTTAAATTTTGGCTTTAAGCCACCTGTAGTGTTGCCTGTGCATCAAACTATACTTGTGAATAATTTAACAAGATAAGTAAAACGAGGATAGTACCAAATTTAGCTTGTTTGGTAATGCAAGTTCTCCATTCTTCCGGTTGTGTAGGATTTAGACTATAGTTGCAGAACTTTCTTAACCGGAGACAATATAAATAGTGGCCTCAAATGAGACTTTTTGTGCAAATTTGAGAAATTACTTTATGTTATTTTTACAGTTTTAGACAAGTGTAAAAATACTTTGTATGATCACGTCAATTATATAGTAACTACAAGTAAGTGTTTAGGATAAATATTACCTAGTAATAATGGTAATTTACTCGTTATTACAAGTTAAATTACACTGACAATCAGGGGCGGATTTATAGCCCAATATATGGGGGCACGTGAACCAACGATTTCTCTACTAAGTTAGGTATTTTATGTACATATTTTCTAGAATTGATTGATATTATCTGATGCATCCATGCTCCAAAGACGCTAAATGATGTACTTGGTTGAATGATAAGTTATTTATCTAGAGAAGCAATGATCAATTCCACGTAATACTTTCCTTTTCCTCCTTTTTAGGGATACATCCATGTTATAAAAATCTTAGATCCAACTATACTAATAATGTAAGATTCATATTGTCAATATATATAAATTGAAAAACTTTATTTTGTGGCAATTAGAAGAATCGATATATAGATAAGAAATTTAGAAATGGCAATGGGGCGGGACGGTTGCCCTGCGGGTTTAGCCTTAACCCGCATAGACTTCAACCCACCCTGTCCCGCATAGCAAAATTTTCTTTTTTAACCCGCCCCCGCAAAGAAAAAAATTTCCTTTTTCATCTTTAAGAAGGAAATGAACTAACACAAGTTTAGTATTTCATTTTTTCCCCTTCATATTCTTAAATTCCTCGTATGATAGGACTTAATTCTTTATTTATTTGAAGGTGATTTTTCTTTTTGTCTTATGATACAAGAGTCAACAGGGTTATTCTTCTCTTTTTTTTCTACTTCCGGTGGAAATATTTTTTTTATGAAGGAAACCAAACAAAATCTTGTGCCGACAAATTATCAATTCGTGTCATATAGTGGTAAAAATAGCATGGGCTAGCCAAATTTCGGACTTGTCATTCAAAAATAGCCAGTGCTTGTCAAGTCATTGAAAAATAGTCACTATTTTGCTGCAACAGAGACCAGTCCAGCATAATATACTGGAGTTCGGTGCACCTGTGTATGAACTTCCAGCATATTATGCTGGAACTCCAACACGCGGAAAGTTCCAACATAATATACTGGAGATTCGAGCACATGTGTATGAACTTCCAGCATATTATACTGGATCGGTATACTTTGCTGAAACTCCAGTATATTATGCTGGAGTTCTAGTATACTTATGCTGGAACTCTATTATATTATGATCTAGTTCCAGTATACTTATGCTAGAACTCCAGTATAATATGTTGCAGTCCCAATATACTTATGCTGGAACTCTATTATATTATGATCTAGTTCCAGTATACTTATGCTAGAACTCCAGTATAATATGTTGCAGTCCCAATATACTTATGCTGGAACTCTATTATATTATGATCTAGTTCCAGTATACTTATGCTAGAACTCCAGTATAATATGTTGCAGTCCCAATATACTTATGCTGGAACTCTAGTATAATATACTGGAGTATTTTCCGGATTTTGAACAGTATTTTTGTTCAAATTTATCTTTAAATGAAAAGTGGCTAAATTTTAATTATTTTTAAAAATGTAACTATTTTTGAATGACCA